GGACTAAGAAACTCAATCAAAACCGCTCAACTACATGGAAACTGAACAACCTGCTCCTGAAGGCAGAAATAAAGATGTTCTTTGAAACCAATGAGAACAAAGATACAACATACCAGAATCTCTGGGACACAGCTAAAGCAGTGTGTAGAGGGAAATTTATAGCACTAAATGCCCACAAGAGAAAGCAGGAAAGATCTAAAATTGACACTCTAACATCGCAGTTAAAAGAACTAGAGAAGCAAGAGCAAACACATTCGAAAGCTAGCAGAAGGCAAGAAATAACTAAGATCAGAGCAGAACTGAAGGAGATAGAGACACAAAAAACCCTCCAAAAAATCAATGAATCCAGGAGTTGGTTTTTTGAAAAGATCAACAAAATTGACAGACCACTTGCCAGACTAATAAAGAAGAAAAGAGAGAAGAATCAAATCGACGCAATTAAAAATGATAAAGGGGATATCACCACCGACCCCACAGAAATACAAACTACCATCAGAGAATACTATAAACACCTCTACGCAAATAAACTGGAAAATCTAGAAGAAATGGATAATTTCCTGGACACTTACACTCTTCCAAGACTAAACCAGGAAGAAGTTGAATCCCTGAATAGACCAATAGCAGGCTCTGAAATTGAGGCAACAATTAATAGCCTACCAACTAAAAAAAGTCCAGGACCAGATGGATTCACAGCTGAATTCTACCAGAGGTACAAGGAGGAGTTGGTACCATTCCTTCTGAAACTATTCCAATCAATAGAAAAAGAGGGAATCCTCCCTAACTCATTTTATGAGGCCAATATCATCCTGATACCAAAGCCTGGCAAGGACACAACAAAAAAAGAGAATTTTAGACCAATATCCCTGATGAACATCGATGCAAAAATCCTCAATAAAATACTGGCAAACCAGATTCAGCAACACATCAAAAAGCTTATCCACCATGATCAAGTGGGCTTCATCCCTGGGATGCAAGGCTGGTTCAACTTTCGCAAATCAATAAACATAATCCAGCATATAAACAGAACCAAAGACAAGAACCACATGATTATCTCAATTGATGCAGAAAAGGCTTTTGACAAAATTCAACAGCCCTTCATGCTAAAAACGCTCAATAAATTCGGTATTGATGGAACGTACCTCAAAATAATAAGAGCTATTTATGACAAACCCACAGCCAATATCACACTGAATGGGCAAAAACTGGAAAAATTCCCTTTGAAAACTGGCACAAGACAGGGATGCCCTCTCTCACCACTCCTATTCAACATAGTGTTGGAAGTTCTGGCTAGGGCAATCAGGCAAGAGAAAGAATTCAAGGGTATTCAGTTAGGAAAAGAAGAAGTCAAACTGTCCCTGTTTGCAGATGACATGATTGTATATTTAGACAACCCCATTGTCTCAGCCCAAAATCTCCTTAAGCTGATAAGCAATTTCAGCAAAGTCTCAGGATACAAAATTAATGTGCAAAAATCACAAGCATTCTTATACACCAGTAACAGACAAACAGAGAGCCAAATCAGGAATGAACTTCCATTCACAATTGCTTCAAAGAGAATAAAATACCTAGGAATCCAACTTACAAGGGATGTAAAGGACCTCTTCAAGGAGAACTACAAACCACTGCTCAGTGAAATAAAGAGGACACAAACAAATGGAAGAACATACCATGCTCATGGATAGGAAGAATCAATATCGTGAAAATGGCCATACCGCCCAAGGTAATTTATAGATTCAATGCCATCCCCATCAAGCTACCAACGAGTTTCTTCACAGAATTGGAAAAAACTGCTTTAAAGTTCATATGGAACCAAAAAAGAGCCCGCATCTCCAAGACAATCCTAAGTCAAAAGAACAAAGCTGGAGGCATCACACTACCTGACTTCAAACTATACTACAAGGCTACAGTAACCAAAACAGCATGGTACTGGTACCAAAACAGAGATATAGACCAATGGAACAGAACAGAGTCCTCAGAAATAATACCACACATCTACAGCCATTTGATCTTTGACAAACCTGAGAGAAACAAGAAATGGGGAAAGGATTCCCTATTTAATAAATGGTGCTGGGAAAATTGGCTAGCCATAAGTAGAAAGCTGAAACTGGATCCTTTCCTTACTCCTTATACGAAAATTAATTCAAGATGGATTAGAGACTTAAATGTTAGACCTAATACCATAAAAATCCTAGAGGAAAACCTAGGTGGTACCATTCAGGACATAGGCATGGGCAAATATTTCATGTCTAAAACACCAAAAGCAACGGCAGCAAAAGCCAAAATTGACAAATGGGATCTCATTAAACTAAAGAGCTTCTGCACAGCAAAAGACACTACCATCAGAGTGAACAGGCAACCTACAGAATGGGAGAAAATTTTTGCAATCTACTCATCTGACAAAGGGCTAATATCCAGAACCTACAAAGAACTCAAACAAATTTACAAGAAAAAAACAAACAACCCCATCAAAAAGTGGGCAAAGGATATGAACAGACATTTTTCAAAAGAAGACATTCATACAGCGAACAGACACATGAAAAAATGCTCATCATCACTGGCCATCAGAGAAATGCAAATCAAAACCACAGTGAGATACCATCTCACACCAGTTAGAATGGCAATCATTAAAAAGTCAGGAAACAACAGGTGCTGGAGAGGATGTGGAGAAATAGGAACACTTATACACTGTTGGTGGGATTGTAAACTAGTTCAACCATTATGGAAAACAGTATGGCGATTCCTCAAGGATCTAGAACTAGATGTACCATATGACCCAGCCATCCCATTACTGGGTATATACCCAAAGGATTATAAATTATGCTGCTATAAAGACACATGCACACGTATGTTTATTGCAGCACTATTCACAATAGCAAAGACTTGGAATCAACCCAAATGTCCATCAGTGACAGATTGGATTAAGAAAATGTGGCACATATACACCATGGAATACTATACAGCCATAAAAAAGGATGAGTTTGAGTCCTTTGTAGGGACTTGGATGCAGCTGGAATCCATCATTCTTAGCAAACTATCACAAGAACAGAAAACCAAACACCACATGTTCTCACTCATAGGTGGTAACTGAACAATGAGATCACTCGGACTCAGGAAGGGGAACATCACACACCGGGGCCTATCATGGGGAGGGGGTAGGGGGGAGGGATTGCATTGGGAGTTATACCTGATGTAAACGACGAGTTGATGGGTGCAGCACAGCAACATGGCACAAGTATACATATGTAACAAATCTGCACGTTATGCACATGTACCCTACAACTTAAAGTATAATAATAATAATAAATAAATTTAAAAAAAAAGACAAAAAAAATAATAAATAAACAAATTACAGTTGCATATATTTATGCAGCACAAAGTGATGTTATGATTTATAAATACAATGTGTAATAATTAAAACAAGCTAACATATCCATCACCTCAAATATTTATCATTTTGTGGTGCGAATGTTTGAAATTTATTCTTAGTAATTTAAAAATGTGCAATACAACATTATTAGCTATATTCACCACACTGTGTAATAAATCTAAAAAAAAATCTTATTCCTCCTGTATAACTGAGGCTATGTGCTCTTTGACCGCCATCTCCCCATTCTCTCATTCCCTGCCCCATTTTGCTCTCTGCTTCTATGAGTTTGGATGTTTCAGATTCCACATATAAGTGGGAACATGTGGTATTTCTGTTTCTGTGTCCAGTGTATATCACATAGCATAATTTTCTTTAATTCCATTCATTTTGTTAAAAATGACAGAACATATTTCTTTTGTAAGGCAGTGTGGTATTGCATTTGAATATATACCATTTTCTCTTTGTCCATTCATCTGTTGATGGACACTTAACGTTGGTTCCATAATTTTGCTATTGTGATTATTGCTGCAAGGAATGCTGGAGTGTAGGCATCTCTTCAACATATTGATTGTAAACCTTTTTTTTTTTTTTTGAGATGGAGTCTCGCTCTGTTGCCCAGGCTGGAGTGCAGTGGCACGATCTCGGCTCACTGCAACCTCTGCCCCTCCAGGTTTAAGCAATTCTCTGCCTCAGCCTCCGGAGTAGCTGGGATTACAGGCACATGCCACCACGCCCGGCTAATTTTTTTGTATTTTTAGTAGAGATGGGGGTTTCACCATCTTGGCCAGGCTGGTCTTGAACTCCTGACCTTGTGTTCCACCTGTCTTGGCCTCCCAAAGTGCTGGGATTACAGGTGTGAGCCACCGCGCCCAGCCTTGATTGTAAATCTTTTGGGTAAATACCCAGAAGTGAGATTGCCGAATCATATGGTAATTCTACTTTTGTTTTTTTGAGGGACCACCATACAGTTTTTCATAAATGACTATACAAACATCTATCCACCAACAATGTACAAGGGTTACCTTTTCTCCACATCTTCACCAACCCTTGTTATGTTTCATTCTTTTTACAATAGCATTTCTGAAAGACATGATGTATTATATCATTGTGATTTTAATTTGCATTTCACTAATTATTAGTGATGTTGAGCATTTTTCCTGCATCTGCTGTCCATTTGTATGTCTTCTTTTGAGAAATATATATTCAGAACCTTTGACCAGTTTTAAATTGGATTATTTGTGTCTTTTCTCTAGAATTGTTTGAATTCCTTATATAATTTGGATATTAATCTCTAACAGATCTACAGCTTGCAAACATTGTCTCCCATACTGTAAGTTGTATATTCACTGTGTTGTTTCCTTTCTTATGCAGAAGCTTTTTATTTAGACATAATACAATTTGTCTATTTTTGCTTTTGTTGACCATGCTCTTGCCAAATCTAAAACAAATCATTTCCCAGATCAATGTCGTGTAGTTTTTCCCCTGTGTTTTCATCTAGTATTGCTCCTTCTGCTTTCTACTGGGATAGTAGAAATCTAATAGAATTCTTTCCAGGTTTTGTTTCAAGGACTATGCAGCATAAAGCTAATTTGAATTTCCCAATACTAAAGTTACTAAACCATCACTCCCTTTGTGAGCAAAAATTACTCCTTTTTTTTTTTTTTTTTTTACTTTATTTGAAAAATTGAATGGTAAGACTCATTCGGATGCAAAGAACAGTTGCATTTTTATTGTCTAAAGTAATTCAATTAGTGGTCATTCTTTAAAACTTTGATGATTTCTCTTGACTATTTTCCTTATCAGAATGCAGACATGAAAAGCACAGGTGTCTTTTTGAGAAAAAAAAATCTTGCTTTTATGAAGAAAATATAAAACTAATAGTGGAAGAAGAATGTGGATGGGTTGAGGTGCCTCAGGCCGAGACTCATCTGTCTCACTAAGTGTGTCTCCTCACAGCTGACCTCCAGCTTCTGCCTTTCCTGAACACACACGTTTTTATGTTTTCTTCATTCAAGTTGAATCATTAGATTCTAATAAAATCCTCTGGGAAAGACATTATATCTTTCGAACACTCGTATAAATCAGAACACCACCTAGGCAGAATAAGTGTTAGCTGACACCCAAAGTTACAAATGGCTTCGGTAATTAAGGTAGTACTGTGTTCCTGCTGTCACTTCCTATATTTTTTTTTAATCAACACATTTCTTAGTCCCATTGTCTTTTATGCCTGAGGTTTCTAAGAAAAGAGAAAACAAGGTAGCTTCATTGTAGAGACTGACCTGGGAGCATGGACGTGACTTTATCTTTTTCTTTGCTATTAGTATATTTAAACATGGTTTATTACTTAATGTGGAGAAAAATAAAATGAAATTAATGAAAGGGTAATAGAAACACAAATACTGAATTGAAATTATGCCTTTTGATGCAATATGACCAGAAAATTTAATCATATTTCTGTATTTTTACCAAATATATCAACATAGAGATAAGCAAAGCTTTATTATCAGAAAGACATGGTATCCTTATATGTGAAACTCTGAGGACATAAACTGCTCATTATCCTTATCATATTGCAAGTACTCCTGTGTTTAACTCCATTTAGGCATCCCAAGGAACTGTAAACAGTATCACAGTTACCACTAAAACAAACATTAAAAATAACCATATTAGAGATATCATTGATTATTTGGTCCAGACAGTAAATTCTAAAGCCATTTGTGTACTCACACATATTGTATCCTGGCATTTATAATTTCACATTCTTATAAGTGATTTCAAAACCCGTCTGATCCCTGCTATTCTAGAATATAAACATGAATATTGATTATTTTGTAATGGACACTAAGACCTTCCTTTATAAGTCAAAAGTCTAGTCTTTCTCCTTTAAGGGAGATACTGCTGAATGAAGTCAACAATCTTGATCCTTTTCAGGTTTATGTAAAATGAAGGATGAAGAACATAAGTAGCCATGGGAATCTCAAGGATGCTAAGTCTGTGTTATGAAATATGCCTTCTGCCTAGTCAGAAATGACTCAGTACTCTTCTTCCGCTCCATTGCCTGGGAATATTCAGAGCAAGGTGAATTGTCGGCAAAATGTCATGCTATAAATCTCACAATCAATGCACTCATCAGAATGGACACCTTTCATTCAGTGGTGGAAAGAAGCAATAATAACATTTTAGAGGCTGCTTTTTGAAATAATATTCTGGATGCAAGCACTTAAAAGGACTTAAAGTATTACCCAGTGACCTCTGGAAGAAAACTGCCTTCTTAGGGAATCTAAGGTCTGTCTCATTGTGCCTTTGCAATACATTGAGAAGTAACTTGAGATTGAGATGTACCTGAATGACTATGAGATTGCCTAGCAAATATTAATTTCATCTAGATATTAATTCTTTCTGGAATCTCCCTACTTATAAGAGAACGGGCCACTTCCAAAAGACCTATCAGAGTATTTCAGTCATTGAAACTCATGCCCAGAAAAATGACCAACAAGCTGTGATTTTGTTGCTCTCGTGGTCTGTCAAAATCTGAAAGTTTAAAATTTCTCTTACAGGAAAACAAACTTGTATCCCCTCTAAAGAATCTATGAGCAAGTTGGAGCCTTCAGGCGATAATGCTTTACTATTAAAAAATATAAGCCAGGTGCGATGGCTTATGCCTGTAATCCCAGCACTTTGGGAGGCCAAGGCGGGTGGATCACTTGAGGTCAGGAGTTCAAGACCAGCCTGATCAACATGGTGAAACCCCGTTTCTACTGAAAATATAAAGATTAGCCAGGTGTCATGGTGCGTACCTGTAATCCCAGCTACTCCAGAGGCTGAGACAGGAGAATTGCTTGAACCTGGGAGGCAGAAGTTGCAGCGAGCTAAGACCGGGCCATCGCACTCCAGCCTGGGCAACAAAAGCGAAACTCCATCTCAAAAAAAATAAAAATAATAAATAAATATTATGTTACCAGTGCAAGTTAACTCTAACTGGTTTTTGATAACTCCTTTTGTGCAAGGTACAGGGAAGATTATAATCGTCCTGTTATCTTTTGTTACTACCTGAGTTTTAATGGACTTTCTGTTTATTGATTTCTCTTCCTAAATAATCATCCGTGAAGGGATGCATAATGCTGCTTGTGCTAAATAATTGATAGCATGTAGAGTTACTGGGAAAGCTATGACAAGCTGGAGGATGTCGCAGAAAGAGGCTTAGTAGCACAGTGATAAATATAATAAGAGGCCAGTGCTGTCAGGAGAGGAATATCATATGATTAATTGCTCTATTACTTTTTCTTGGTCTTCAGAAAAGCAAGAGGATATTAAAAAGGAAGTAGAAAACAAAGAACTTTGTTGAGTGTCGCTTCTTCTTACTCATTCATTGGGGTAGAGGGTGAAAGAAAATGCTTTAGTTTCTGTTATATCTTTATTTGTAGAAAGCTGATGCAATAATAGATTCTGTTCAAATTGTATAGAAAAATACTCTTCCATAATGATAGGTTAATTATTTTAATTTTACAGGAGTATTTACAAAGAATGTCTATTTCCAATGAATTAGCTATTATTTTGAATGTGGATTATTGAAGGAAACTGGAAATGCCAAAACTGTTAGCACAGTAAACATGAACTGCATCAGAAATAGTCCTGGTGCCCAAAGAAAACAGGGATTTGTATTTAAAATTAGGTTATGTTTGTTTTAAATTATTGACAAATATTATATCAAAAACATCCTTTCTTAGGAGTGTGTGGTTATGAAGTTATACTGTAACCTTTTACACACACACACACACATACATACAGACAGTCTCGATGGCTTCAATAGAAATAAAAATCGGTTTCACATTGTATTAAAGCATATAACTTCAAAATTACCATGAAGTTTGTGAACTTATCTTTATGTAATTATACAATAATTTGTTAAAATTATTGGTCTTGCAAATAAAAATACAATTTTTAAAAATTCGACCGTAATTTTATTTCTCAAAATGTAAATCCTAAATTTTAATTTGATATTATCAAGTTTCCAAAACTCACCAGAGTGCTAGGCTGGATATATAAGTGTGTCATGGAACTCAGACAGATGGATATATATTGAAGCCATATGTAAGAGAATATATTTTAGAACATTTTATTGCCAAAAAGTGAACTTGGTACCTTGGTTCTGATAGGATGAGTGGGGCAGGGGTGGAGGTTAATACACATCTTCTGTAGTCAACTTTGGTATTTTGGTTTCTCTCTATCTACTGTCTTCTAATGTGTGCAAATTTTTTACCACCTAAACTACTCCTAATTACATAACTGCTTACAGGCTGATTTTTGTGTGTGTGTTTTGTTTGTTTGTTTTTGTTTTTTTGAGACGGAGTTTTGCACTGTCGCCTGCGCTGGAGTGGAGTGGCACGATCTTGGCTCACTGCAACCTCCACCTCCCGGGTTCAAGTGATTCTCCTGCCTCAGTATCTCAAGTAGCTGGGATTACAGGCACCTGCCACCATGCCCAGCTACATTTTTGTATTTTTAGTAGAGACGGGGTTTCATCATGTTGGCGAGGCTGGTCTCGAACTCCTGACCTTGTGATTTGCCCAACTCAGCTTCCCAAAGTGCTAGGATTACAGGCATGAGCCACCATGCCTGGCCTATAGGCTGATCCTTTAAGCAGAATATATTACAACAGAAATCTCCACAGTTTATCTGTTTAGCACAGTGTATGCCATAAACATGGATCATTCTCTCCCATTCATCAAAATAATGTATATTACTGATAAGATATTGTTTCTTTCATCCAGCTCCTGCCATTTCTATGAATTTTAATCTATAGATACAAAATAAACCTTGTAAAATTGTTGCCACATCCCTATAAATTTAAACAATAGCACTAGTTTTGAAACAATAGCATAGTGTATGATTTATTTTCTTCTTTAGCTTTAAAAATATGATGACATATCCCATACACTAGGATTTGTTAAAAATATATGTAAATACATTGTTCACATTCCTATTTGAACCTTTGAGGTAAATGCCAAATATCAGAATTATCTCTACTGAAGGAAGAATGTAGTTCTTATTTAAAACAAATAACTAAGTTCATCCAATTTTACTTAGCTTTTCAGTATCAGTTCCAAAATCTCATACTGGATTATTTTCAAAACTTAAACATATTAATTTACAAAAAGTATTTTGCTAAGTAACATAGGAATTTTAATTAAATTACTAATTTAGGACTTAACAGCCAAGGTCATGATAGGTGCTATGGAGAACAGAAAGCTACAGTTTATTATTCACAAAGCAGCCAGATATTACCTTTAAACATAAATCAGATTATTTCCTTTCTCTACTTAGCTTTCCTTGGCAATTGGTACAAAGTTCAGAACCTACAACAGGGTAAATCAGACAATAAATAAGCCAATAAATCTGGACCCTTACTAACTCTCCAATCTCATGAAATGCTACTTTCCCCTTAGCTCTCTAGGGCCTAGCCCATTTGCCTTCTTTCTATTCTCCCACCTTGGACATTTACATTAGCTTTGCCTTTACTAGGAATTATCTGCCTACATCACTTTGCAAGGTGATCTCTATTTGTCAGAAGTCTCAGTTTAAACATCCCTTCCTTAGTGAGGCCTTCTCTTACACACAAGTTGCAAATAATTGACTATTGTATCACTCTTTTACAGACTTTTATAGTATATATCAGTGTCTGAAAGTGTCAGACAGTGTTTGCTTAATTATTTAATTCATTAATTTGCTTCTTCGCAGCATTTACCTATTGTGATAGGCAGAAAAACGGCCTTCCAGAGATGTCAACATTCTGAAATCTGAGCCTGAAACACGTTACCTAACATGGCTAAAGGGATGTGGTTCTAGATGTGGTCAAATTTAAGGACCTTGAGATGGAGCAATTATCCTAGATTGCAGCTGGTATGCCTAATCTAATCACAGGAATCCTTACAAGTAGAGAAACTTTCCTGACTGTAGTCATTCAGATAGACATGTGGTTATGGAAGAAAATCACAGACGGGTGCAACATTGCTGGCTTTGAAGATGGAAGAAAGGAATCACAAGTCAAGGAATGTGGGTGATCTCTAGAGCATAGAAAATGCAAGGAAACTGATTCTCCCCTAGAGCTTTCTGAAAGACATGCAGGCCTGCCAACACCTGGATTTAATGTCCCATACTGGACTTTCGACTTAAGAAATACAAGATACTGTTTTTGTACTGGTTAAGCCATCAATATTGTGGAACTGTGTTATAGCAGCGATAGAAGACTAATACAACCATGAAAACCTCAAGATCAGAAACCCCATTCATCTGTTCCATTCTTTATGGCCAGAGCCTAGAAATGGGCGTGGTGCACAGATGTTACTCAGTAAATCACCGTTAATACACAAACTCATGTTGAAATTAACCAGAAATAAACACATCCTTGAAGATATGTATTGGATAAGACATATGTTCTTTTTAAAATACAATTAAATAATATTTTATCAGCTAATATATATTCTCCAAATTGCTCTAGACATTATATAACATAATTATAAGTAAAAGAGTACATTATTGCTAAAAATAGCCCCTATATTCTTAATGAAATAAATGACTGATAAAGCCTCCCCAAAATGTGTCCAAAAGTCAAGAGAATAGTACAATGAACACGGTGTACTCATTTCCCAGCCATACAATTTATCAACTCATTATCAGTCTTGCTTCATCTCATCCCATCCATTTCCCTTTCTTTATAATATTTTGAAGCAAATTCAAGATCTCATGTAATTTCAACAGCAAATATCTCAATATGTATCTTTAAAAGGTAAAGACTGAATATATCCTAATTAACAATTTCCAAAGTTACAAGTCATTTTTGCCCCCTTGATTCTGTTATACCATCCACATGATTTGATTTGGTCAATGAGGTGTTAGTGGATGGGATACAGAGATACTTGAACAAGTTAGGTGTGTTTCCTCTGCTTACCCTTTCCCTGTGCCATTACTGTGAGGACATTCCCAGTATAGCCCACTAGAAGATGAGAAACATGGAATGAGCCAAGTCATCCCAGTCATCAAAGCTAAAGGCATCCTAGCTCAGATTCCTGACAGCGACTCTAGGCTTGTGAGTGAGCCTAGATGAAATCACTCCCCTACAGACCCGAGCTAAACAAATGCTCATTGTTCTATGTCACTGAGTTTTGAGGGTTATTAGCATTAAAACGGCAATAGATAAGTCGTACAAATGTTCTATGTTATAAATTAGTGATGGGTTTAGCAGAGATCTTTAATCTCATTTTTCCCCCCTGGGATAAGGATTTAGGTTTGAGGAGATCAAAATCTTATGAAAGTTAGAGAGCTCCATTTGAGAAAAAGAATGATATAGAACAAATACACAATGAGATACGAAAGTGAACATATTTTCAGAACGAAAAAAATATATAGTAGCCTTGGTAATCTAGGTACCTGTGTTGTGAGGTTTGTTTAGCCAAATAATTGCAATCTGGCTTCCGATCTCTACCCAAAACATTCAATAAACTCCAGCACTCACAGAGGCCCAAGAGCTTAAAGAAACACCAGTTGCATTAGTTTTACAATAAATCTGACTCTCTTCTTACTTAATGGTGTAATTTATGTAAAGAGAATGTCAAATGAAGTACTATTAAAATAAGATAACAATTGTAACCTTTTTTTTTTTTTTTTTTTTTCTAGTGCCCCACACGGGGTGTCTTTGGGATAAGAAGTAGTCAAAATTTCTGGGCATATGGGAACTGTCAGGTTCATGCTGGAAACTGTGTTGCTCATATTTCAGAAGTGCTGCAGAGTACTAAGCGCAGTGTGCAGACACACTTGCCATGGCATTATTCCTTTTATTCATATCTTTCCAGACTTCTGATAGTTTCATAGATTTCGCTTGTTTAAAGAAGAACGCCATTCGAGTATCAAACTAAGTAGTCATACTGCTTAAGACCTGCCAGGGCCATGAGGATTATCTCCTGATTGGACCTTGACAGCGTGCTAATTATTTGTGACATTTTTGTAATAAGGGAACTGTGCTTATAAAAATAAATAAATCCAAGATATTCTTCTTACAGATTGTCTTATTAATCTCATTTGTATGTATCATCTTGGGTAGGATAAATTTATTCATATTACAGAAAACACTTCATTCCAAAATATGCTGAAACTATTGGATAACTTTTCATTAGAAAATGGGAGTACAAAGCTGGGTCTTTGTTGATTAGAATATCAGTAATTTGAAGGCTAATTACATTAAACTTTTAATCTCCACATCTTGGATTTAAAAGCATCTAAGATTTTCTTTTTTTTTTTGTAGTTTCAGTTCTTTTTTTATTATTATACTTTAAGTTCTGGGATATATGTGCAGAACGTGCAGGTTTGGTACATAGATATACACGTGCCATGGTGGTTTACTGCACCCATTATCCCATCAACTGCATTACATATTTCTCCTAATGCTATCCCTCCCCTAGCCCCCCAGCCCCCAACAGGCCCTGGTGTGTGATGTTCCCCACCCTGTGCCCATGTGCTCTCATTCAACTCCCACTTACGAGTGAGAATATGCGGTGTTTGGTTTTCTGTTCCTGTGTTAGTATGCTGAGAATGACGGTTTCCAGCTTCATCCATGTCCCTGCAAAGGACATGAACTCATCCTTTTGCATGGCTACATAGTATTCCATGGTATATATTTGCTGCACTCTTTATCCAGTCTATAACTGGTGGGCATTTGAGTTGGTTCCAAGTCTTTTCTTTTAACCTTTTGCTGTGGATAGCAAAATGTGAGTTAAAACTTTGGTTATGTAAACATAAATTTTGAATAATATTTCTATGGAATCCTTTTCTTTTGTTTTAGCTTTTATTCTTTCTTGCATATAGAAAAACAGATATATCCTATTAAAATAAATGTGTTTCAGATATATGAAACAAAGAATGTAAAAGTGCCCAATATTTCAACCCTTGCTCTGTCCTGTTCACGACTAGAACTGTGCTAAATTTATTGGTGTCTTGAAAATTTTAATGATCCTTCCGTTTCCTTGGCACATATGTATTTAGTAAGATGGGCAATAAAAATCCTTATAAAATTCCCTTGTAACTTTTTCCAAGTCGATTAAAATGAATTACCTAATTTGAATCTCAGGAGATTTCTGTTTATTACAAAGGTCATTTAGATATTTATTATTGTTTTTTTCTGGTAAAACAGATTGACCATTAATTATATGAACTATTAAAGGAGTCATTATGTTCTCTTTGTTACAGTTATTTTATGTGTTTTCAATTCTGACTATGTCTTCTCTTACCTTTTAACTTATGTTTACATAGGTTCACTTTCATTACTATCCCTGAAGTGTAAAGAGCAACTATGAACTAATTTGCAGTGGTTAACAACCACCCCACTTTCAGTGAATTTGACTTAAAAAGCTCAATTTCTTGTTCACACTACACGTGAAACATCAGTTTCAGGAGCTTTGTTTGCTGTGGCCACTCTGAAATTAGGCTGACACAGGCACGACCAGGTTATCCTACAATCCAATCAGCCTGGGCCTCAAGGTTGGCTATGGCAGGAAAGGGGACTAGGAATTACATGATAGGTACATGGCACGTGCAACCGTGAGAGCCAGGTCATGCGACTACCTGATTCAAATAAAAAAAAAAAAAAATATATATATATATATATATATATATATTTTTTTTATATATATATATGACCTAGAGAATAATGTATTATACACAGATAGATAGCTTTTCTTTTTCAAACTTGGAAGATATATGAGACTCATATTCACATCATTGTTCTAAAGTAAAATAACATATTCAAATGACATTAATTATTGCTTTCCTGTCCAATCAATAATGTAATTGTACTTTTATACAAGATATATTTTTTAAATGTAAGCATGATTATGTTATGTAGAAAAATGATCAATTTGCTATAAAAAAGAGAACCATGGTACCAGGTTAAGGCTATAATTGAACAATATTAACAATTATTCCATAGGTAATACAATTAAAGATATCGTACCTATAAATGTTAAGCATTCAACTCAATCAGACATGCTTTCTAATAAAGTTTATTTCTAGTAGAATTTATCTAGTTTACATCTCAAAGTTGATTTCCGCTTGATCTCTTCTGTACCTTAACATGGATGGAATTGATATTGGGGAGTGGAACAAAGACAGACAATTTCTACCCAATGCTACATAAATTTATCTAGGTTGGAAAAAGAGATAATGACAATCACCCACTTACATTATATATTTGCTCTTTTTCTGAAGTTTACGATATTTGTCAACTAATTTTTGCAAGATTATGGGCTTTGATAATCTGATCAATCTTTGTCTGATACTATAAATGCTTTAGGTTCTCCCTATAGTAAGATAGAGACAACAATAGAACTGTGGGCTCCAAGAACAAGGAGGAGGATTTGGCCACTGAAAACTCAAGTATTATTAATCTGTGTTCCATTTTGGTAATATGTAAATCAGCTCATTTTTTGGTATCAAATTAAAACCAACACCCTGAAAGAGATGAGGTTATTAACCCTTGTTCTCTGGCCTTTTCATATTAAGATAATTGTACTTTGCTGCAGAGCTAAATTCTCTCAGTAATTTCATTTTGAAAAATAAAACTAGACAGCAGATCCTGGCACTGTCATCCAAATTGTAGTTTTCTAAGTGTACTCTTCAACAGCTGCTATGTTCCACCCCTTAAGTGGTTATGTTCCAATTTTTCCAAAATATTCTTTTGTAAAAATAATGCATCTCATTTACATAGAGCTTTCCATTTCATAATGTCAATATTATTTTTATTCAACCCACATAAACAATGTCAGTATGAGACTGAGGATAATTTCACAGACAATGAAACAAAGACATGCAGGAAACAGAAAGGAAAGGCCACATGGTGAACTCTACCTCTTTTAAAAATTATTTAAGCTCTTTGCTAGGATGTTTTTACTTGCCCACAGTGTTTCTCTTCATGATCAAATCTCTACATAGAATGAAAAGAGTCAGTTTCATTACAGGGCAGGGAAAATTGGAAATATAATATATATAGAAAATGAGAACAAATATGTTCAAGAAATATCCAAGAATATAACCAGTCTTCCAATATGTCTCAGTATCCATGAGTAAACTGGCAATTCTAAAATACATAAATGATATGCATTTAAACTAAACGCTACAAAGTGAATAAAATCCACTTGATAGTGACAAGAAAGCCACGCAATTATGCAAGTTAGGCACAATGATGGATGAAGACCAAGGTTGCTATGACAGTAGAGTGCATGCCTAAATATGATATTCTCTTATCTTCTATCCCTTTCAGATCATTCGGTGTACCATGATATTGGTACCTCAGTATTGATAACACCAAATGTTATTAATACTCATATCTATGTTGTCAAAGGGAAAAATAAACCCGGTAGTCTGGGTCATCTCTTTCTCCCTAACAAAATAAGTACAAATTCACTCTGTTTCTTTTCAAGTTTTATGACTCTAATAGTTTTCTTTTGCCTAATTTCATTGGCTAACACTTTGAAAACATGTAAAGTAGTAGCAGTAATGTAAGTCACCCTTTTCTTGGAATTAGATGTAGACATGTAATAATTTCTATAAAGTATGATGTAGAGTTTTGTGGGTTATACTTTATGATGTAAAAAAAAATCCATGTTTCTATATCTGTTTCTATTTTATTGAGTACATTAAGGAATGGATTTTAAATTATGTCAAATTCCCTTTCAGCTTCTAGTAAGATGATCATGAGATTTTTCTATTATATCAGTTAACATAAGGTCTGTCAATAGACTTACTGATGTGGAATAATGTTTTATAATTTTATACATAATGTAAAACATAATTATTATAGTTTTAATATCCTCTTGGATTCTTTCTAATTAAATGATAGTTCAAATGTTTACTTTGTTCTTTAGAAGGGAGGTTAATCAACAGTTTTCTTTTTTGTATTTAACCTTTTCAGCTTTTAGTATCATAGTTATATCTATTATATAAAATCTTTGGAAGTTTTATTTATTTTTCAATGCCTTCTAATAGTTTAAGTAACATTTGAATAATAAAATCTTTTAATATATTTGTGAAT